TACCCAAGGGCTTTTATTTGTTTATTTGAACAGACTTGGTAGACACCCATAAGAAGATGTTTCATGCTAAACATCTAAGTTCTAGCTCATTGGCTTTTTTAAAAGAAGATTTTTAAAGTTTTTACTATACACATATAGTTAAAAACAATGTCACCCCTGGGGCAGGGCCAGTTTTGACCCCCGGGTGTTTATTTGAACAAACTTTGTAGATATTTACTAAAAGATGTTTCATGCTTAATATCTAAACTCTAGCTATTTGGGTTTTTTCCAAAGAAGATTTTTAAGTTTTTGCTATACACATATAAGGAAAATCAATGACCCCCCCCCCCCCGGGCGGGGCCAGTTTTGACCCCAGGGCTTTTATTTGAACATACTTGGTAGACACCCATTAGAACATGTTTCATGCTAAATATCTAAGCTCTAGCTCTTTGAGTTCTTTAAAAAGATTTTTTAAGTTTTTACTATATGCATATAGGGAAAATCAATGACCCCCTGGGGCGGGGCCAATTTTGACCCCAGAGCTTTTATTTGAACAAACTTGGTAGACACTCATTAGAAGATGTTTCATGCTAAATATCTTAGCTCTAGCTCTTTGGGTTCTTTAAAAGAAGATTTTTTAAGTTTTTACTATATGCATATAGGGAAAATCTATGACCCCCTGGGGCAGGGTCAATTTTGACCCCAGGGCTTTTATTTGAACAAACTTGGTAGACATTCACTAGAAGATGTTTCATGCCAAATATCTAAGCTCTAGCTCTTATGGTTCTTTAAAAGAAGATTTTTTAAGTTTTTACCATATGCATATAGGGAAAATCAATGACCCCCTGGGGCGGGGCCAATTTTGACCCCAGAGCTTTTATTTGAACAAACTTGGTAGACACTCATTAGAAGATGTTTCATGCTAAATATCTTAGCTCTAGCTCTTTGGGTTCTTTAAAAGAAGATTTTTTAAGTTTTTACTATATGCATATAGGGAAAATCTATGACCCCCTGGGGCAGGGTCAATTTTGACCCCAGGGCTTTTATTTGAACAAACTTGGTAGACATTCACTAGAAGATGTTTCATGCCAAATATCTAAGCTCTAGCTCTTATGGTTCTTTAAAAGAAGATTTTTTAAGTTTTTACCATATGCATATAGGGAAAATCAATGACCCCCGGGGCGGGGCCAATTTTGACCCCAGGGCTTTAATTTGAACAAACTTGGTAGACACTCACTAGAAGATGTTTCATGCTTAATATCTTAGCTCTAGCTCTTTGGGTTCTTTAAAAGAAGATTTTTTAAGTTTTTACTATATGCATATTGGGAAAATCAATGACCCCCTGGGTCGGGGCCAATTTTGACCCCAGGGCTTTTATTTGAACAAACTTGGTAGACATTCACTAGAGGATGTTTCATGCCAAATATCTAAGCTCTAGCTCTTACGGTTCTTTAAAAGAAGATTTTTTAAGTTTTTACTATATGCATATAGGGAAAATCAATGACCCCCAGGGGCGGGGCCAATTTTGACCCCAGGGCTTTTATTTGAACAAACTTGGTAGACACTCACTAGAAGATGTTTCATGCCAAATATCTAAGCTCTAGCTCTTATGGTTTTTTAAAAGAAGATATTTAAAGTTTTTTCTTTTGGTTGCCATGGCAACCAGAGTTCTGCATGGAATTAAATTCTTTGAACAATTTTTAAAGGTGACCACCAAAGGAACATTCCTGTGAAGTTTGGATGAAATTGGCTCAGTGGTTTATGAGGAGATGTCATTTAAAGCAAAAGTTTACGGACGGACGGACGACGGACGGACGACGGACGGACTGACGCCGGACGAAAAGCGAACACAAAAGCTCACCCTGTCACTTTGTGACAGGTGAGCTAATAAAGAAGTTATAGTAAAGTATTTTACTGTACAAATTCTTTCAGCAAGTAGGAAAGCTCCATCTATACTTTGTACAGTCGAGCAAAAAAGGGAAACAACTTAGAGAATGACATCTATTTATTTGATGATGAAACATTTTGTTTGTGTACATATTATAATGAAAATGTATTATTGTACAAACATTATACATGTAGTGTAAACCATCCACTAACAACACTGCTATACATCCTATAAAATCTTGCACCTGTATGTTCATAAAATAAAGCAAATAAAGGTTTTAAACAAAATAATAAAATGGCTGTATTATATATACATATACAGTGCCCTCCAAAAGTCCTTGGACATATTTAAACTTTATCATTTACTGGTTAACTTTGTTTCATTTGTCAATAGTTTATAAAAGAATTTGGTTCTGTTATTGGGAGAATTAAGGGGGGTAATTAAAAAAAGCATTTCATAAAATTCAGCTATAACAGTGCTTTAATAAGTTAGATATTTGACATTTAACTTTCTCTAGTAAAGATATTAAGTTTCAAATAATAAAATTAAGATTCTCCTAAGAAAGGTTGCCACCATGTTTTGCATCAAAAATATGCTTTATATTGAAAATATGATAATTGTAAGTCAACTCCAGTTCAAAATGCTAAGATTAGAAGAAAGATTACGATGTCAGATTATGAGGGAGCAGGGATTCTCAGTAGCCGATATCGCCATTCGGAAAGACCGACCAAGGTAAGAGATTAGCTTTCTTAAAATGTTTTCTTGTTCAAAATTTTAAGCCAAATTTTGTTTTTCTTTTACTGCTATATGTTACTAATCTTTCTGTTTTAATTTATTTTTCTAATCAGTCTTTGTTTACTTCAGGTCAACAGTCTACCACCTTTTGAAACGGTATGAGGCCACTAGTACCAACAAAGATCGCGAAAGGACAGGGAGGCCAAAAGAATCAGACAAAAGAGATGACCGGCTATTACTGCGAGCTTCACTGCAAAACAGGAAAGAAACAGTGAAAGAGCTGCGAAGAGATTGGCAAACCTGAAATGTGATTGCTTCTGCAACAGCAGTGAGACGTCGTCTACATGAGGCAGGACTTTTTGGTCATTTGGCTGTAAAGAAGCCTTTGCTTTCACCAAGACACAGGCAACTCAGTTTGAACTTTGCCAGAGAGCATGCTTATTGGTCTTGGGTTGATTGGTCAACTGTGATGTTCTCAGATGAGTCTAAATTTAATTTATTCCAAAGTGCTAGGCTTGTTTATGATCACAGACGTTCAGGTGAACAATTAAGAGATGACTGTGTTACCCCAACTGTCAAATTTGGGGGTGGTAGTGTGATGGTGTGGGGAGCAATGAGTTATATGGGCACTGGGTTTCTGTCTCGTGTTGATTGCAAACTTAATTCACAAGGATACATCAAGATTCTTGAAGACTGTACTATACCGTCGGCGCATTTGTTGGGGTATGGTAACAACTTCATATTCCAGGATGATGGCGCTACCTGCCATAGAGCTAGAATTGTTGAACAATGGAAAGAGGAGAATGAATTTAAGTGTTTAAAATGGCCTCCTCAGCCACTTGATCTTAACCACATTGAAAACTTGTGGCAGATTGTGAAAATTGAACTAAGAAATAAACACAGCCATAATCTCCGTGAGCTGGAACAAATTGTGAAAACTGTTGGGGATTCAGTACGTCCTGAATCATGTGAAAGACTTATTAGAAACATGCCACGAAGGATTCAAGCTGTTATAAGGGCCAGAGGAGGTCACACAAAGTACTGAAGTAGATCACTACTTTCATAATTAACATCATGTTGATGTCCACAGTTTTCAAATTTTCTTGCTGTTTGTGTGTTTTACTGAGATGTTAAATTTTTTGGGGATTTAACAAAACTAAATAAATACTTCTACTAAATTGATAATCATTTTACTTTTGATTTATGTTTTACATCATTTTAATTGTGTAAACACTACCAAAAATAGTTTGTCCAAGAACTTTTGGAGGGCACTGTATAATCTACAAATCTGCATGTCTGACACTTAAAAAATTTAACTCAAAACAAAACCACCATAAGGACCCCTTAATCTCTCACCCTAGATTTATCACTTAAATATATCTTTACCTTTTTTATGCATAAATAGATCACTTGGTCACACTAAAAGTTATCAAAGGTCAAACTTGGATTTTATTCATTTAAGTGTAAAAATTGAAGCTTTATCACAAAATACTGTTGGTCATTACTGTGTTCATTAAAGCATACAAATTAATGGTTCAAATTTACATTTTCTTAGCTTAAAAAACTCAGTTTTAAAAGATAGCTTCGACATGCCAAACTTTAAAAGTTAACAAAGGGCCACAATTCAGTTTAAAATCCTTGCTAGTCATGAGCCTTAGACATAGATCTACAAATATGATTTCAAAGACATGTATGCAGTTACAAACAAATATCTTTAGTGGTTGATGAAATCTGATGTTGTGCAATAAGTTGCCAGCAAAACTTTTAACAAATGTGTTACGATGACGTCAACACCTACCCATAGGGGATAAGGATGATTAAAATGAAAGTCAAAAAAACATTTAAGACCGATATTAATTTGCTCACATAAATCAACATACAATTCATTAATGCTGTGAGTAATGTGATAAAAACTTGTGTAAAGATGGTCCAATTTGAAGCTAACTTTGACGTTAGAAGTGATAAACTGAGGGCTAGGTGCAAAAGGGTTGTAACTCATATCAAATTAGGAAGGAGTTACGACCCTTTCACACTAAGCTGTCAATATATGATGATCTTGAAAGACATTTGTTATTTTTCACAATCTGATAAAAGATTTGATTCTGTTAGTTTAAGTCTGTGGCGTAATTTGCTGGTGAAATTTCATAATTTTACATCAGAACTATTGCATTATTTACAGAAAGTAACTTCAAGTAGAATGAAACTATACATGTAATGATACAATTGAAAAACAATTGTTGAGATTAATTTTAATGTTGGATTCTCCTTCTCCAATCTATACAGTGATGAGTCAAAAGCATTTTTTTTCAAATAAACATCATCAGAATGGCGAGTTGTTTTCACTGTGCGACACTGTCATTCAAAATTTCCGATTTTCTAGAATGACCCATCTGTTATCTTTAAATCAGGCAATAGTCTTTTGTTTCAACTTTCTGTTCAATCGCCGTCTACCTTCACCTTTTTAGCCTGGGGCTCATCTCCTAAAAAATACAAACATTGGTAAGTTAATCACGAAATCACAATTTTTTGTTTACAACTTGTTCATAAAAGAGAGAACCACAATGAGCTATTGCAGCTCTTCGTCCAATTACTATCTACTTTAAAGGGACTTCACTGGGGGCTTTTTTAACATGAAGGGAACAGAAATATTTTTTTCAAAATATTTTTGTATAACTTGGTGTAGGTCTGAACCAATAACTTGTGTACAAAATTTCAGATCATTCACTCACTCTGTTCCCAGAAATAATCAATTTCATGCAAATTGAGCCAAAAGTCAAACTCAAAACGACCCAAAAAACTGCATAAAAATCTATTATTATCATTTTATTAATGAGTATATTTATACATTACCTATTGTATAGTTTTTATTAAGTGCACATGTTGATTTATGATTATGAAGGGTTTCATTTCATAATTTTAGACAATTATACCCAAATGGAATTCCTTTAATGTGTTAATTATCTATAAGTGTATATGTCTTGAATAAAAATGTGTTTAAACCAAAACATCATTTCAAAAAACATCATTTAAAACTTTAACACTAATCTCACATCTATGGGGTTGTTAAGATGAGATTATCCGGTACCGGTGCAAAAATTTCCAGACCGATATGCAAATGTCTCCTGATTCATGTCACAATGGAAGTGAAACCAACGCACTCTTGTAAGAAAAGTCTTATATACATACATCAGACCATAATCAAACATTATAATTCATCAATTTAGCATGCAAGTTTAACTTTAAGCAAAAGGTTGCACCAACTCTTGGTACCGACACCAAAGTCCAGCCTTAAAAAATTGAGCTAGAAATTAAAATAAGTCAGCCAACAGCCTGGTTCTATACTGTTGGGCAAATGTTCATCAATTTTGATTGGATCAGGGTGAAGGTCAACATGAATAATTAATGTAAAGTTCATGAATATGAATATTAAATGTAAGTTTCATGAATATTAATAAAAGGTTACCTCCTCCAGTCGCTGCAGCTTCTTTAGCTCTCTTCAAAGCTTCTCTCGTTTGCTAAGGAATTAAAGGAAAAACATAAACATTAAGTTACATCATTTATTGCCTAAAAAAATTGATAAAGACAAATAAAAAGTACCTTAGTTTATACAAATTTATTTTAGTTTGATACTGTTGGAAGATATAAGCATATTGAAACACTCTCGAATCCATTCCTGGAACCAACCCAACTCACACGGGCAGGAATCCTTAGATTACTAGTCTGATGTATTAACTACTCAGCCACAGTCTTAGTTTCTATTCTTCCTTTTGTTATATGTAATGGTAATTTCCTCACTAAAATCATCTTATATAAATAACAGTGAGCAAATACAACATTAATAGACATTCATCATTTGGTCATAAAGAAGTACTTAATTCACATCCTTTGAATTTCATATATAATTTCATGCATGAAAAGAAAATGAATCAGGAATTAAATTCACAAGTTTTAAATACGTTTTCAACTGGGAATCTTTCAACTAAAATTCAAAGCCAATTAAAGGCTTCAAAACATGATAATTTAAAAAGTTCAAAACATCAATCTCTTACCTTGGATGGTCTTTTGCCCCATCTACCTTTTTGTTTATTTTTACTGTTTCTATTTTGTTTCTCTAACACTCTGTTTATACTATCTTCATGCATTTTCTTCCACCGTGCCACTTCTTCATCACCTGTTTTCAAAAAAAAAAGTTAAAAAAATATGATATTTAAAAAAATTATCATGACAACAGTTATAACGGACATATCTCTCTGAATTAACATCTCCTGTAATAGGATACAAATCATTTGTCAAAATGAAACTCTTTGATTTTTAAGTGCTTAAAAATCAAGTACCTCAAAATAATCAATATGTAATAAAATTAACTTGGTGTCCACAAAAAGTTTTCTAAAACCTAAACTGTAATAGTTCCATATTGTTATCTTAAAAAAACATTTTGACTTGTTATCTTTCATTTATGCAGAGTATTTGAGTATACAGACTTCAAATGCTGGATCATATCAAAGGGGGGTAACTTTGCTGAATATGTCCACACTAAGATATCTGCGAATATAGTTCATATAAATGTCACGATTATCCAGTGAATGAAAAGCGACGTTTCAAAACTTGCACTTTTATCAAAATAATTATATTTACCCTCTAGAACTCTTGACTCCAGTTTCTTTTCATGTATCACAAGTTCATTATTATTTGCTGCCAATGCTTTCTCTAAAACTTCCTTTGCCATGTTCTCTTTATCATAACGCACCACACACTACAAAAGTACAATATAGGAACATAAAGATTTTCATTAAAGATAAAGGGCAATCATGAGACTTGGTCACTCTTTGTTGTGGTTGGGTTTGACTTCGCACCAACATAGTAAAGATCATAAGGCGACTTTCCAGCTTTACTGGGGTAAAAAAAAACTCAGTTAATTGCACTTCCATGCATTATTTCAGGCATGGACAGACACTTGAGTAGGACCAACAACATTCCATAAGCTAGCTGGAGAGCTTCCTCACATGAAAGTATCCAAAGCTTCATGATTCCAAACCACAGCAGTGACGGGCAAGTGGTTTTAACAACCCACCTTAACCACTTGGACAGCAGATGCACCACTGTGCATAATTTCAGGCAGGCACCAACACAGTAAAGATCATATGGCGACTTTGCAGCTTTATGGGGTAGGGAGACCTCAACTGCCCTGCTGTATATTATTTCAGACAAGAACTGGCTAGTTTCTAATACATCATGATTTGCACTTCAATTATGTTTACAGCTTACAGAGATTTCACTCAAGACCAGAAATATTAGCCACTTAAAAGAGAATCTCAAAATATATTTGCTCAAAAAACTGAAGTGTTTTTTTTGGTTAATGTTACATATATGTAACATGTAACACTTCTTTACAAGTGAAAGATAAACTTTGCCTCACCTCTGCATCACCCCTGCAGAAATCCACCCAGGCAATTGGTCCAAAATCTTGCAAGAGATTCTTTATATCTTCTCTACGTGTTTCTTCTTTATCCATCCCCTAGAAAATGAAATATCAAAATATATATCATTCCCGTAAATATACAATATCAAAATATTTGCCATTATTTCATAACATTTGATCATAAAACCAAAATTTAACAAAATAGGTTAATTAATGCTGACGCCAATTTAGACAGGTGTAGCTTAAAATGTATACTTAATGTCTTTCAATTGAATTGTAGACAAACTGTGGCCTAGTGGATAAGATATCTACTTCACAACCCAGGGATCATGGGTTCAAGCCCTACTGCGGTCACAATCAGGTTTGCTCATATTTCATCAATACTGTTTATAATATACCTAGGAATTGGACTTTGAAGTAGGTTTAAATTAGATTTAAGCTTTCACCACAATCAAGATGAAATAAACTAAAATAAATTAACTGAAATTTTACACTTCAAATTAAAGGGATTTTTGACATGACGGGACAAGAAACATTTTTCCGAAATTTGTTTTCATGATCATTCCCTCACCCCATTTTTCCACAATCATCATTCTTATTGTGTAAAATAACCCAAAAATCAATTGCATAGTTAATAGAGATCTTTAATTCAATACAGAGCATATTTCTTTCTATAATTCCTATGTAATTTTTCCATTCAAAGTGTTTCACTTGAACTTGATTTATGGAAGATTATCAAATTTTATGTTTTTACACTTTTTGACCTCAGTGCTTTAATAAATCGATACTATTGTATAAATTGTAGGACATAAAAAATATTTCAACATCAATTTACCATACCGTTAGTAACAGTAACGCTCCTTTTGGCATTTCATTCTCAACTTTCTGCCAGCTGTCTTCTACCTGTCTGTTTGTTGCTCTGTAATAGATAGATCAAATCATAATATGCTTTTTGGAAGAATTTTGCATCAGGGGAAAAAAAATTAATAGTGTATATTTTAATTATTAATTCCTAGAAAAAGTTTGATTGAGAAGTGACATGCAATAATAATAACACAAACTTTACAGAAATGCCTCTTTTGAGTTTGAAAACAGCAAAGTTATTATCATTCATGGGGCACTCATTTTTTTAAAGACTTTGGTGTAGACCTGCACAGGGTAATTTACTAAAACTTTAGCTTCTAACACAATACATATAGTGTAATTGGGCAAGCTTGGAAAACATTCACTGTATTTGGAATTAGTGTAAGATTGGTAGAAAATGGTCCAAGATAACAATGGCCTACAGGACAACACATCAAATACAAAATGCATCTCTAATATGGTGGGCGATGCCTTGAGAAACTTTTTGAGAAATAATTGTACATACTTGTCTTTCTTGTTTTGTTTTTCTGCTTGTTGTTGCTTTCTCTCCTCTTGTTTATTTTGGTAGTACTGGTTTCTAAAACAAACACAAAATATCAAAATTTAGTTCTTACATCATCTTATTTATCATGTTTAATTTCTGACATTCTATCCTTGCACTTTGTAAGCCCAACTGACGTAAAATCACTGGGTGCCAAATCATGTTTCTCCACTTTTCTACTTCTAGATAGTTTAACAAGAGCTGTCGGTAGGACAGCACGCTCGACTATTCTAAGTGCTTGATAGTAAAAGAGCTTTGATACTGTTAAATTTTTTATGTTCACAAAAGGGCTAATTTTTTTTTATAAATTCATGTTATAGGCCTTAGAGAGGGTCTAATTATACAGTTTTGGCTTGACTATTCGGAAGGAAATGTCACAAGGGTGTTTTATTGAGTATAATAATATTAATTACCTATGAATACATAAATTTGACAGAAAAGGTACAAAGGCTTGTTATTAAGATGTTTTATCAAGTAAATCACTGCTTTATTATCATGAATGCATAAAATTGTCCCAAAAAAGGCACAAACCCTTCAGTAGTTGTTGATATAACAGCTTACAAGCAAAACTTTACCATGAATTTCTAAGTTGAAAGAAGGGGAGAAAAATCCGCCTAAATGCAAGATAGAATTAAGGATCTTTGTCAGTGACCTACAATTATGACCCTAAATCATATGTGAAGTTTTAAATAAATATCTTTAAAAGTTATTGAGATATGTAAAACTTGCATGTAAACATTAACCAAGAGACTAAGTAGAAAAGGGGATATGAATCAGCCTTAATGCAAGATAGAGTTATGGAACTTGGTCAGTGACATACAATTATGACCTTCCAATTATGAACCTAAGTGCATGTGTAAAGTTTCAAGTAAATATCTTTGAAAACCTTTAACCTTTAACCAAATTTCTAAGTTTCAAAGGGGCAAATAATTCTGCAAATATTGCAGGCAGAGTAATGCAATTTTGCAAACTGATGAACATTGTTACTATAAAAAAGTATTTTAAATTTCAATTGAATATCTCAAGCAATAATTGAGATATTTGACTTTACAAAAAAACTTTAACCAAAATTCTAAGTTCCAAAGGGGCATAATTTTGTCAATATTGTAGACAGAGTTATCCAACTTGTCAATCTGATGTACCTTGTTACTATTAATAAGTATTGTTAGTTTCAATTGAATATCTCAAGCAATTATAGAGATATTTGACCTTACAAAAAACTTTAACCAAAATTTCTAAGTTAAAAAGGGGCATAATTCTGTCAATATTGTAGGCAGAGTTATCCAACTTGTCAATCTGATGTACATTGTTACTATAAATAAGTATTGTAAGTTTCAATTGAATATCTCAAGTAATAATTGAGATATTTGACTTTACAAAAAACTTTAACCAACGCAGACGCCGACGCGGACGCCGACGCCGGGGCGACTACAATAGCTCTCATATTCTTCGAATAGTCGAGCTAATAAAAGCACTGTGCACAGTAGAAAAGAGGGAAATGATATTGAACAAGTGTACCAAATGGAATCATGTTTTGATAATGAACATTCAACAAGTATACCAAGTTTCAAGTGAAAAACCTTAATGTTTTCTCCATCTTTGTATTTTGAAATCTTTTAAACTTCAAATGAATTGTTTCAAATTCAAAGCAGGACAACAAATCCATCACATACATTAAACATGTTAGCCTTTTAGTTTACCCTGCTGCAGGAATCTCAAGTGTTTCACCTTTTCCACCAGTATAAAGCCAGGCCAGCATGCACAGTCAAGCAATATGACCAGACTCTTTACTGTTGTCCGGACTAACTTTTCATCCTGATACCCGAAAATTGATAATGGACAACACCAAAAATGGAAACCAGACAAGTCCATTTAAGAAATTCAGGTTAAATTAAACGTATGAAGCTCTTGTGATAATAATCATCTTACTTGGATAATCTCTTCTCAAGTTCTTCATCTTTAAACTTCACTGACTCTGCTTCTAGGAACTTCTTCATTGCCTCTTCTGTTTTGAAAGTTACAAAAACTGAGCCCTAAAAATAAAATGTAGTATTACAAATACAACCACTCAATTCTTCATGATTTGTGGTATTTCATTTTCTACCAGTTAGTACCACACTATCATTAGGAAATACTGTATATGTGGATATCTAATAAAATGAAATGCCGTAATTAAATTAACATGTTTGTTTATATAATGTTAACATGTTAAGCACAGTGACAATATTGATACTGCTCATGTGTTTATTCACAAGGCGACAAGATTATTAAACCTCTTTTTGAATCTGTCTTAAATCTCAGCATTTCCAATGGTCAGTGTACCTTCTGTGCTGGTTTCTGACCAATTAAATACATGAGCTCCAAGTTTTACCTGAAAAAGTATCTAAAGAACCTCAGGCCCAAATTATTGTGTGTTTTTTCAACATCTACCAGTATCACAAATCTTAGGAGTGTTAAAGTAGTATGCCTCTAGAAAAGTCAGTGAGCAGTGTGTTTAACTTTCAGTCAATATTTATTTGGAATAAAGTCTCTGAAATATATCTTTACCTTGAACTTTTTCTTCACATCTTTTCTCATTGATAGGCTTTCAACTTCCCCAAATTCTTCGAAAAATTCTGTCAACGAATCCAGTGTAGAATCTAAAGGGAACGCTTTCTGAAAAATAAAGACATTTAGATTGAGAAATAACATTTTTATTCACAGTTTGAATTTTAGTTAGTTTAGTTATAAACTTTTGACCTGAACACATTTTACAACAAGTTTTCAAAGATTTCTTATTAGATTCCTCTATTGTAAGAATGTGATAAAAAAAGATTGTATTTGAACCTAGCACAGTAAGTGGAAAGCATACATGTACAAGGGATTTCACATTTTGTAAGTTTGACTCAATTTTATTCATATCTTCTATTTGATATTCACCAATTGGACGTTTAGATAACTTGAATACACTATGTTAGTATGTTTGTAGTAAATTTCGCCCCTTGATAATTTCGAAAAATGTTTGAATATAAAATAGGTAGAGAAGGGATTTTGGAAGCCAAAATCAGTTGTAAATGACTCCCAAACTTCCACTAATAGAAGTCCTGCTGTACAGGATACACTGTTTACTGTGAACACATTCATTCATAAGTGTACACTTAAAACAACCCTGTCTGTGGCATCAGGATTATATGTATCCACAAAACAAACATGATACTTAGTATTGTTTAATTTACTCACTGCATATATAGATCTGGCAGACAATTCATGTTTTCTTTGTTCGTTGTTCTCTGGAATTGGTTTCTCTGGGTTTCTGCGAATCTTCTTGCCATCTTCGCTGACCTATAACAAGAAACTTTTTATTAAAAAATCTTGATTTTTAATAGTATGAAATAACAAAATTAAGTGCTTACTTCTTGTTTTGCAGTGTATATATCTTTAGTGTGTTGAGGCCGGTATCATACCCTTCTTTAACTTTAAGAGACGAGGATTGAATATACTGATCAGAGAGAACCAATTAGAATTATAATTCTTTGACAATACACTTCCTGTCACTGATATCTATCACTTTATCAAGTTTGGATCAAATTCCTTTAAAATACTTCAAATTTTCTCCGAACAAGCATTATTGAGAAGTATAAAGGGAGATACTTAAAAAACTAAGCAATTCAGAGTTATGGTTCTTTGACACTGCACTTTCTCTAGTCTGTACAACTGTATGTAGTTTCAATGAGATATCATTCATAGTTTAAAAGTTATACTCCAGACAGCATTATTTAGAGATATCATATAGTTTAATTTTTTTTTTTAACTTAAGGGAGATAATTTAAAAATAGTTCAGTAATGATTCTGTGAAAGTGCACATCCTCTCAATGGTCTCTATCACTGTGTGAAGTTTAAATAAAATTCCTTCCATACTTTTCAAGTTATTCTCTGACTTTTATTCACTATTTGAATTTTAGTTTGTTTGGTTATAAATTTATAACCTAGAAACATCTACTATAAATTTTCCAGATTTCATATTAAATTCCTCTTTTGTAAGAATGTGATAAAAGAAAGCTGTATTTGAGCCGGGTAAGCATACAATTTAAACCATTTAGGGACCTGACAAAAAAAGTTTGACTCAAATTTATTCATATTTTCTACTTGATATCCACTGAATGTAAGTTTAGATAAATTGATCACATGTTTGTAGCAAATAAGTCCCCTCTGTGACGTAGATGGATGGATGACAAATGTAAAGACAATCAAGGCAACAACCGGCACGCTCTCTCTTTGGGGAGCATAAAAATCTGTTAATGTTACTAAGAATAGCAGTGTTGGAACATCTTATCTCATATCGCCTTATCTCATACTCTGTATGCAACACATATTTGAGCCGCGTCATGACAAAACCAACATAATGGGTTTGCGACCAGCATGGATCCAGACCAGCCTGCGCATCCGCGCAGTCTGATCAGGATCCTTGCTGTTCGCTTACAGACCCTATAACAAGTAAAGAAACTGCTAGCGAACAGCATGGATCCAAATCAGACTGCGCAGGCTGGTCTGGATCCATGCTGGTCGCAAAGATATTACGTTGCTTTTGTCGTGACGCGGCTCATTTATCTGTTCAGTTCATACACATGCTGGATAGTCACTTCTCTATATTTTAAACAACAATATAAAATAGAGTGTTAAAATACCTCCATTAGTCCGGAAGTTGATTTCTTCAGACATTCTGCAATCAATGGGATATCATCTGTAATCTGCTTCAACCTATTAAAATTCAACATCACTTCCAATGGTACCCCTTAGTTACTGTTAAGGAATTCAAAGAACATTTTTGGGATATATGCCTATAATACACCTTGACCTATTTTATTAATTTAATTCTACAACAACTTTCAAGCATAAACTAACTAACCTGAACTTTTCTCGAGTTATAAAAGAAACATATTATATGCAATAAGCCAGAGATTCTACATATATATCTTTCAAGTTATGCACCATAATTTTTTTATATTTTTTTTCCCATTTTTATTCACATCCTATGATAATGACTGCATTGCTAGTTCTCTAGTCAACAAAGGGCAATCTAAAAGTAGAGGGCCCAGGTATGATTTGATATTAATAAATCAATATGAATCAGATGATAAATTTTTAACTTGGGCTGCAGCTTTGCCTTACTATTGCTAATGGGGACCTACAAGTAGTACCTGGGCTGACAATAACCCAACACCCTTATTAATAAAATTAAGTTATAACCATTTATAATTGGTGACATGATATAGATATGGTTAACAAATTGCTACTTCAATTTTTTTCATTTTTTTTCAGATGGGTCTTAAGTTGCACCAAAACAGTGAAGAATATCTGGTGAAATTCTAGCTTAACTGGTGGAGGAAGACCAAAAGGCCCCCTCTGTGTCAAAAGCGGGCACCAGTGTGTAGAACAACAAGTGTTCTGTAAGCTAGCTAAAACGAATCTTCCTGACATGAAATATTAATCCCAAGTCCCTGGCAGGATTCCTGACATGAAATAATCCCAGGCAGGATTCCCACACACAGCAGTGAGAGGCAAAAGGTTTTTAAATCAAATACTTTAACCACTCTGCCATGCTGATCTAACTAAACTCTTAAGGAGTGGACTGCCATGAGCTATTGTAGCTCTCGTACCAATTCCTTTCTGCTTAAATTGTAAATTATTAACATGTATATATTACCTTGAATAAAAATATGTTTAAACCAAACTCTTAAATTGTTCTGCAATTCTGCTCAAAAGTCCATTTGCCTAAACTTGAAAATATCACAAAGTAATGCAATATACATTTTATTTTATACAGGACTAAACATAGAGTGTCTGCAGTAAGTAAATCTTATTTTTATAAATCAGTAAAAAGGATACATCCATCATCTTGTTTGATCTGCTCTTGTAAGAATCTGTCTCTTGGCAGATTCAAATCTCCAAAGTAATACTGTAAAACAATATATGTTAAGTTAATTAATAAAGTTTAACAAATTATTTATCACTTTAAGTTTATAACAGAACATGTACATTTTTCCAGACTATTGGTAATCGTAATATGAAAAAGGCAAAGCCTCAAAGCCAGCTCGATTTTTTTAATTTACATTTCAGTTTATTCTGGTTCCCTGTTCTATTATGGTTCCTATAAAAGTGCGCAGGACACAACTTCACACAAGTCTACTTATCCGTTTTCAATCAGAATACCTCGGCTTTTATCGTTATCTTGTAATTCAAAAAGTTGCAAAGTGTCAATTCATAGTTCTGGCTTCCATAACTTTATATGTTGCTTTTATTTTGATGTTGTGCGACAGTAAAGTTATGGGTCAACCCTATTTGCAAAGGCTACCAGAATTTTGGCAGTTTGTGTGCCGTACATAAAAACCTATTTCAATCACCCTTATTAATCAAATTTGGGTCAAATAAAAATACCATTTGATAAACAAATCAATTTTGAATCAATTCATGTTTTGTTATCAAATGAAACTTCAATGACATTGTATACCCAACTAATTGTTAGGGAAATATGTAGAATGTTTACCAATATGGAGTCTGCTTTCAAATGAAATCTCTCAGGACTTCAAGTTTTGGGAATTCTAGCATCTATTTTTTGGAACAGACCATACACAATCTTTAATAAGTGTTAGTGTACGATTTCAAATAAAAAAAAAAAATAATTCATGAATCATCACTCAAAACAATATAAATCCAACATGTTTTTGGTACAATATCTGTTATTGAATAATTTAAATACACCGTTATTCATAATTGCAAAGCCATGTTTCCATTTACAATCAGCATTTGGGTCATGGGTCACCAAATGTCATGCAAAGGTATCCAAACCTAAATTCTCGCTAGTCACGTGATAATTAGGGCAGCAATGGTGGCGAATTTTATGAAATGTGAACCCACTGATAAACTTTGAGGCATTATTTCATCAATCTAACGTTCTGTGTTCAAAAATATAGACTGAAGTGTCCCAAATATATCTAACTACCTGTATTAAAATAGCTTTCGTCCAGATCACGTAAATTTGTTGAATTACAGCATGACATAAATATGTCACAGTTCTGGTTAACTTTTGCTACTGGATTGGTTTCAGCGAACTGGTCTAGCAGTACTATAAAACCTGTTCGCTCTAGCTAGTCAACGAAAGTTTTCAATAAACCATCACTATCTAGCAGGTATCGTGTTACCGTAAAGCTCCCTTCGAGTACAAGGCCCTTTGGTTCTGCTCTTCAAGCTCACTATTATTTGTGAATAGTAGACTAATTTCTCATCAATAGAGTTCAAATTTCTTACAATAAGACTTAAACGGGGAAGCCAAAGGTTTTGCAGTCCCGGGCTTAGGCAGCTAAAGACTAATAGACAAGACATGTGAATATTTAAACAATCAAATGAAAATGTATTCCAGTAACAGGCTAATCGCAACTTTTCGTCTTAAGAAAAATCGTCGATAAGTTCCAATTGAAAAATAAAAGGAATTATTCTTTTAAAACGATAAATGTAGTTTGGGGTTAATTTTAATAAAATACATTACCTCAATCTGTTTGATGACTCTCTTTTCCACATCCTGACCAGCTCCTGTAGCCATGTTAAATGGTGTAATAAACTTCTTATTTAAAAAACTTCAATTATTCAATATTTCCTTTGACTTGTTCAGCACAACAATTGTATAAACCGAGTGAAGTATAAATAAACTATGGGTATTCTATATATAACGTAGGATTTCACAAAAACCACGTTGTTTTTCGTCAGTTCACGGTATCACAGACGCTTTCTTTTTCAGGCATTTAAAGCTTTCGAACACACTGATTAAATTGTCATTTGGAACACCTCGACGACTTCCCTTTCTCATGTGGTCAGACTCACATATTGATTTTCCCCATATGCTATCTTTTAGTCTGGTTCCCGTCGTACTATAAAATTTAGTACTGAACGGAGAGAAAACGGCAGGTAATCCAGACTATGCTTTCTTGCATAGCGGCGTTTCCGTGAGTTTTACCCATGCCTGAAATTTCATCTGGCATGGGGGGGGGGTGCCAGATGAGTCGCGTGCCAAACAACAACGTCATTTTCGCGCACTTTATGGATGTACCGCGTTAAAATGACGTCATTTTAGAAGGAACATATGTGCTTAGGATGATGTCATTTCGCCATTGTTATTTAAGTTGTAAGTTCATACGCTTTTGTAAGAAAATAGTTATGGAGGAAATGACTTTAATTTCCACGAACATGTATCATATTGAGGTGAACCATTTTAAATATGAAATAATATGGCAGAATATGCAAGAAAAAAAATCTGACATATGATTGCGGTTCGGACCAGAATATCCGTCCCTCGGGAACGCACCCATGGGCAAGCCTCGTTACCGCCCAATGGGTAGGTCCCCTCGGGACGGATATTCCGGTCCGAACCGCAACATATGACAGATATTATTAATCTTTAACATAAAATTGAATATGTGGATTTTTGGGGGGAGAATAAAATGACCGACACATAAAATCATAAGATCATTACAAATTCTATTTGAAAGACCCTGAGTAGCCGACCATTTTCTGCAAAATGGTTTCTTAAAGGAGTAGTCCCCTTCACATTGAAATTTTCTATTGATCACATGACTGACATATTTTTTTTAAAAATATAAATATAAATCTTCATGTGACAAATCAGGTATATATACTTACGTTAATATACGTACCTGGACAAATTATCGTAGAAATATAAAGTATTTCATTTTCTTAAGAAAACAATGTAGTTTTCGTTTCTAAACTAGTTTCATACTAAAAAAAATACATATTTATCTAAGCACATGATGTCAAATTGAAACTTATGATTTCAACAAATAGGGTCAAAATCTAAGCCAAAACTCAATAATTCTGAATCTGAAACAGTACATATAGTTTGAATTTCATAGCTCTAGCTTAAATCTCTGAATCAAAGTCTAGATCATGACAACTGATTTCAAAGTTTTATTTTGCAGCTGCAAATGTGCACATAGTTCAGATTTGATAGTTGTAGGTCTAAATACAAAACGTAGATCACTGGGTCATGTCCTTTGTTGTAGGGGGTCAAAGTTTGGGCTGATAAATTGAACAAAATTAGACAATATGTTTCATGCCAAATATCTTAGATATATGGTCTGTGAAATTTCACGAGAAAAGTTGTTAAGTTTTAATGTAAAACCGGTTTCCTACACGAGTGGGCCAATTTAACCCAATGGTTATGATTAAGGCTCCCACGTTTACAATTTTTTGTAAACGTTTACACGACTGCTAAGAACCGAAACGATACCGTTTAAACGGTGGTACCTCTATGTACTATACACACCATGTACTTGAGTCGCCAAATGATGTCTTTCTTTCTATACAAATAAAGAATGTGCAAGGCTCATCACGATTGAGTCAGCACACATTTTTTGCATTGTAACCCCATTTTTTACCAAAAATGTATTATGTCACGAGCAATTGTGCACGGTAATGCTGTGTGGAGGGTTGTAAACACCCATTTTCCGTTTGTTTACTTTGGAATAAACCACTAGAATTGATAAAATCCATGATTACAGGCAATGATTAAGAAATTTTTTAAGACAATATGGTTATTTCGATTAAACGGTAAACAAAATCGTAAACGTTTATGAATGAAAATCGAAACGAATCCGTTTAAACGTGTAATCGTGGGGGCCTTAGTTATGATATTAACAAACTTGGTATAGGATCACTAGAAAAGGTAAGCTTTAGCTCTTTGCGGGCTCACAAAAGAATATTATTTCAAAAGACTTTGGCGCCTCTACTATTGGGGGAAGAGACTTATAATTATATAGCTCTGTGGTTTTATAGTCACTTTTAGAACATGCTTTAAGTTTACAAAAGAGTTGGGATTTTTTTGTGTATGAAATTGTACATGATATTTCTATCAAAGATATGTATAGCAAATCAATACTAATTTGACTTTGCAATTTAATTAATGTGCCAGAGATATAATATATTGTAATGTTCATGTCGATGCACTAATCTTTGTATTTGTTCATATATTACTTTTCAGAAAGGTTTAAAACCTTGCTTATTTGGCAACTGTATATTTGTGTATATATGTACCTATACCTACGTTTGTATACAGTACAATTTAGATAAACTAAAAAAATAGTTTATCGAAGTATTTCAGACATATTACATGTAACAGAGATGCAGATTACAGATATATTTGAATGTTGGTTGTGTTACATTAAATTTTGTGCTGTACAGACCAGTTTTATAGCATAACTTGATGTTTATTCCAGTTTATTTACTTGTAGGTACTCTCCCGAGTGCATCTGTCAAATCTATTTTAGATATTCATGGAATGGGTGATGTTTTTTGTTTGAGTTTTGTCATTCCGACGTCTAAGAAACTTTATAGATCTGTTCAAAACTCGGTGCTAACTGCTTGTAGGTTAATACCCTGGTGAATGAGTTGGATCAGTCACACGAGGAGATTTTTTTCCGGCCGAAGGCTTGTCTGTTTTCAGTTTGACTTCCTATAAAATTTAAAGGGCAGAAATGAATATAGAAAAGATTTTTATTGGTCATTTTAAAATTACAAAATGAAATCTGGGAATCTCATTGACCATTCTAAAATAAAATGTTAAGATTGTTCTTGCCATTATGAAATAAAATGTAAAGGATAGTTCTAAAATAAAATGCACAGGATGGTTATTTAACTTGCTAGTTAAATTGCGCAGATATCTAAGTTCTGCTTAACAATACTTCTTGCATTCAGATTTAATTACACTTTCTAGTGAACAGTTTATTTAAGAAATAATATATCCCAAACTGTGATTTTATTGCTCAATAACATCACTGTTTGAAGTTCGGATGCGGGGAATTATATCACGAGGGCGTAGCCCAGTGATATAATGATGCGCATCCGAACGACAAACATTGATGTTATCAAGCGATAAAATCACCGATTTGGATATATTATTTCGATTCTAACACGGCGTACATTATAATTAGCTTAATTGCGCCTGATTTGTTTCCATACTTTTTGTCAGCGCGTCACATTTTTAGTGGTTACGTCACGTGTATAATGATTACGTCACATGTCTAAATATAGAACGTCAAACAGTGATTTTATGTATATGTTAGTGTTCATCCGTACTGTTCTACAGAAATTAGAAACTTCGACGGGAGCGATAGCGACAGGATAATGTTTCTAATTTCTGTAGAACAGCTAAGGATGAACACTAACATATTTAGTGTCAAGCTTTATTTGGCCCATGATTACGTCACTACGCGGTACTATGAAGCACTATGAAAAATAGAAGGCGACTATGAACGGATGTCAATATACAATGGTAGGATACTACGTCATCGCGCACCTGCTGAATGCTCCCACTTGGACCATTTTTTCGTCGATTCAAAGGTAAAATACACTTTTATTATAAGAAAACGTAAGAGTATCAAAAAATCATGTAGCGCACCAAAGAATGGCTATAGTACTTGAGATAATTGTAAAAAAAGTGTATAGATTCATTGCCTGGTTTAGGCCTGAAAACGGGATAAGTGTTTTTCTCTGAATGCTCCCACTCGGACTTTTCCCGAAACACATAGAAATAAGGTTGAAAACCTTCTTGAAAATTATTTTTAACGTACCGGAATATAAACCGAGTCATGTTTTCACATTTTTCTAGAGTAGTTTCAAATATTTCTATTCAAAAGTCAGTTTTTTAAAGTTTTTTTTATAAAAATGGAAAATGCTCCCACTCGGACTCGATTTCAGAGATGCTCCCACTCGGACCCAAATATATACATTTTGAAAGCACATTGCTGTGTTAAGCTTTTATGGATTATTCTCACAATTTTTAAACCATTTTGTCAATAACAACTGTGTTTGGCAACATTAACTTTTCCTTCTTTTTACAGAGATCACTTCTTTGATTCTGAAGAATGACGTCGTTTGGCAGGAACAAGGTGCCATGGCAAAGTTTCAACTGACAGGATCACTATAAAAAAGGTGCACTTGGCTTGTGTTGGATCCGAAGGGATGATTCAAAATTATTGCCAACAACAAAGCTAGGACTATAAGACTTTTAAATGGACAGTTTGGATCTCAAGAATAAAGCTTTGTTAAGATTTAAAAAAAAATGGTGGTGTTTTATAAAGAAGTCATTATACATTGTTTAGTACCATACTGGGTTTAGATTCTGTTGGACTCGTACACATATTAGAGGCCTGCATTTATTCAATAATTGCTGACTTTAATATCTTGTTAATAATTTTAAACCCAATGATTTGGTTGGTGTTAAACTTGTGATTTAAATTTCAAAACAACATAATGGTACGTTTTTGAACATAAAGAAGTCAATATATATATCGGTTGATTTGAATAGTTTATTAAAGAAAAACATGTACATCATGAACTGGTTAAATTGTCAATGTACTGCCATACCATGGCACATAAAGCATAAAAATAACAAATTAAATAAATAAGAAAACAAAGATCACAGTGATTTCTTTATCACAGTCTTTACCATATCTTGGTAATTATAAAGATCTTGTGAGTTATATTTCAGGTTGATACCAATTGAAATTATATATATATGTATATAATTATGCTACTAACACAATTTTCAAACATTGAGGAATATGTAAAATACGTACTGCAAATGCTTGTCCACATTATATGTTATCATTAAAATATACATGTATGCATTCATTTCTTATTGAAGAATTCAACTTACACTTAATAGAAAGTATATTTCTAATTACCTCCCTTTATGAAATATAAATTCGGTATTATCTTTACAAATAATGCT